TATATATATATATATATATATATATATATACACCATAAGTGGTGAGATCTGTAACACTAGCAGTAGGACTATCCTGAAATTAGAAAAAGTTTTTTAAATTTTAACAGAAGGGAGAGAAAATATGATGAGGGAGGTGCTATCTTTTATTTTCTCTAAAATAGAAAACAAAATCATTTTCAAGTGGAAATAGGAGAGAAGCTTCAGAAAAAAGAGATTGGAGGTTTGAAATAGCTTCTGTGGATAGAGAGAAAGATGAGTTCAGTTAGGTAAATGCATGTGTCAACTTCATGCGTAACTTGACTTGTGTAAAGTCAAACTCAAAATAACCCTTGCACAATCTGATCACCTTCTAGTGTTCGCTAACACAGTGAGCAATTCCCCCATTTTTCTCTGTTTCACCTATTTGAAACCAAAGCATCATCTTTGACACTGCTCTTTATTCCTCCATCCACATATGCAATCCAGCACTAAATCTGATAGGATGAGTCTCCCAAACATGTTTCTGATCTGAGCATCCTTCTCCACATACCTCATTACCACTCTACTCAATGTTTCTAGCTTCTCTCACCTAGATTTCTGCCATAGTCTTCTAACTGATCTACACTATCCTCTCTGCCCTTCTTCAATTCATTTTCTCCCTGGCCACAAAGGTCCTCTTGAAATGCAAAATAAAAATATCAAAATAACCACCTTTCAAATTTTGGAGATTAATCTCCATAGCTCTTAGGATTAAAGATAGAACTTAACTGGACTCCCTAGCCAATTGCAATCTTTCTTTTTCCCTTTCAGTCCCTCTGTTTACATGCTCACATCTTTGCTTACCCAGCTAGCTTATAAATGTGAAGATTTCATAGTGATGTAAGAGGGAAATGGTGCAGGTGAGAGAATAAAAAACAAGTGAAAAAAAGAATGAAAGGGAAATATAGAAAGCCCGGATATAAACCCACACATATATGGTCAATTCACATATACAATAAAGGAGCCATGAATATACTATGGGGAAAGACAGTCTCTTCTATAACTGGTGTTGGGAAAACTGGACAGCTACATGCAAGAGAAAGAACCTGGATTACTAACCCCATACACAAAAGTAAACTCAAAATGGATTAAAGACCTGAATGTAAGTCATGAAACCATGAAACTCTTAGAAGAAAACATAGGCAAAAATCTCTTGAACATAAGTATGAGTAATTTTTTCCTGAACACATCTCCTCGGGCAAGGGAAACAAAATAAAAAATGAACAAGTGGGACTACATCAAACTGAAAGATTTCTGTACAGCAAAGGATACCATCAGCAGAACAAAAAGGCAACCTGCAGTATGGAAGAATACATTTGTAAATGATTTATCTGATAAGGGGTTAATATCCAAAGTATAGAAAGAACTCATATGCCTCAACACCAAAAAACAAGTAGCCCAGTTAGAAAATGGGTGGAGGACTTAAACAGACATTTTTCTAAAGAAGAAATACAGATGGCCAACAGGGACATGAAAAAATGCTCCACATCTCTAATCATCAGGGAAATGTAAATCCAAACCACAATAGATATCATCTCATACCAGTTAGAATGGCTGCTATCCAAACGAGAAGAAGTAACAAGTGTTGGTGAGGATGTGGAGAAAGAGGAGCCCTCCTACATTGTTGGTGGGGATGTAAATTGGAGCAGCCACCATGGAAAGTAGTATGGAAGGTCCTTAAAAAACTAAAAACAGAAATACCATACAAACCAGTAATTCCACTTCTAGGAATTTGCCCTAAGAAAACAAAACCCCTGATTTGAAAAGATATATGCACCCTTATGTTTATTGCCACATTATTTACAATAACCAAGATATGGAAGCGACCTAAGTGTCTATCAATAGATGAATGGATAAAGACGATGTGGTACATATACAGAGTATTAATCAGCTCTAAAAAAAGAAATCCTGCTATTTTCAGCAACATGGATGAATCTAGAGGGTATTATGCTCAGTGAAACAAGCCAGGTGAAAAAGACAAAAACCATATGATTTCACTTGTTTGTAAAATATGAAAACAAAGCAAAACAGAAGGAACAAAATAGCAGTAGACTCATAGACACTGAGAAGTGACTGGTGGTTACCATGGGGGAGGAGTCAGAGGGGGTGGGTGGGGAAGGTGAGGGGGACAAAAGGGCACAAAAATTCTCAGTCATAATGTAAGTTGGTCATGGGCAGAACAGTACAGCATGGAGAATATATCCAATGGTTCTGTAACATCTTTTATGTTGACAGTAACTACACTAGTGGGGGTAAGGATTTAATAATATGAGCAACTGTTGAACCACTGTGTTGCATACTTGAAACCAATATAAGATTGTCTATTAACTACACTTCAATTAGAAAAAACAGAATGCAGGGGAAAAAGATGTGTCACTGGGTGGTGACTGACAGGGCTTTGTAACAACTTCCTCATCTGAGTTAAGTGTCCCCCTTAGCTGTATACCAGGCTTACATTTTTTATCACTCCATCATAAAGGATTATTTTCCTTTTCTGTTTTGTTCTTTTCTGTCTTGCTTTTTGTATACCCAAAAACATAATTTCATAACTATTTCTCTAACATTGAGGCCATTTTTTTTCATCTGGGCCAGCTGACCAATAGCAACATTACAACATGAAGACTGGGAAATCTCCCAGCACACCACAAAGCATGGAGACATGACTTCTACCTCTCCAATGATTTGACATTTTTAGTACCTACAAATTTGGCTCCCTTGGGTTGCCCTTTACGTTAAGAAATACACTTTCCTTGAAGGCAACACCACTTTCCTTTTGGGATGACATACACCTCTTCTCCTTTGCTTTCTTCACGCTGAGCCTTCCCATGTCCTATTTCCTAGAGGGTACATCAACCGATACTGCCAGTTCTTGATGGAGTAAACATTAGATCCTCAGATATGCAATAGCATAGTTTTCAGATTTAGGGAGAATGTTCAAAGTCTTTGTCAAAGGCCAAAGTCAGTGTTCTTGTGCTAAGGTATGTTCAGTATCCTGTTGGGTTCCAAATTAGGCAAATATTAAAAGAGGGAAGAGGACTCATTTTTAATAAGAACTGAGAAGTAGAGTTCACTCATTATCATTATTACTCTTCCTAATGAAAACGACCATGTACCAAACTCTCACTCTTTGGCAGGCAGGATCCTTAGTGCTTTACAAAGATTATCACATTTAATCATGAAAATAATGCTACCTATGAAGGAGGTACTCATATTATTTGTATTTGTTATAAAAGAAAACAAAAGCTTAGAGATTGGAAATAACATGGCAAAGATGATATCTAGTAAATGACAGAGTCAACATTGCCATCCAGGAGGCCTGACTTCAGAATATGTGTAACTTAACATTTTTCTGCATGGGTCTCCTTATGTCTCTTCACCGAACCCCACCTGACCCCATTCTCCATTGAAATCAAGTCATTTTTTCCCCTGGAAAACAGCAGTGGTGACAGGGCATTGTGAGGTACTCGTGGAGCACCTCCTGTTCAGTGGGCTGTTCCAACACCCGGGGCTTGTCCTGTGCTAAGAAAGAGACCTGTTACTTGTCTTCCCCAGCTCCATGCCTCCTTTAGCGCAGCTTTCATTGAGTTAATTTTTGTTGCTATTATCTTATATTACCAGCCCTCTTTGCCCCTGAGTTAAAAACATTTCATTTCCAGGGTGTTTCCCATTTGTTGGCTTTCATTTTCATTTTTTTCATTAGTATAAATGGAAATAATTTACTTTAGGACATAAATGGAAATAATTTACTTTAGGACTGACTCATTTAGGGTAGATACTATTATCTCCATTTTTCAGATGAGCCCAGAGCATTTACATGACAGGCCCCAGGGGAAATTCATGTCTCGCCATAAAGGTGATAGAACTTCAGCGTAGGGTTGCCTCCAAATGCAGCCTTCTAAAGCAAATATTGTGAGTGCTATGTGTCCAGCAGCCTCCTTGGCACTTTTACCTGCCCTAAATATATCCAAAGCCACTTTTATAAATCCTCCCCCAAATCCAGTCTGCTTCCCTTGCCCCCCATCTCAGTGAATGACACCACCATTCAGGTGTTCATGTCAGACACCTGCAAGTCACCTTCAATTTTTCTCCTTCCTTCCCTCATGCTTCTTTGTCCTCTATCCACTCTATTACTGGTCATATCTAAAGCATAAAATTCATCATTTTCTTTCTATATCTACCCAAAATACCACTCTGTCTCATGTAGGTGGCTGGGATTGTCTCCTGACCTGTCTCCATCTTTTTTTTCTCATCCACCTTCACTCCAGCCTTATACTGAATCCACCATGATGTTTTTATAACAGTAAAATCAGGCTATAAATGTCATGCCATCCTTTTGTTGAAAATACTTCATGTCTTGGCTCTTAGATAGAAATTAACACGTCACACAAGCTGACCAGGTCCGGCGTGATTCGGTCCCTCCCCTACCTCCTACTTCATCCTTTAATGTCTGTACCGCCATTCCACTGCCATCTTCCCATCTCTTCAAACACTGCAAAGCCCTTCACATAAGCCATTCCCTCTCTCCCAGGTTACTCACCAACCTTCCACCTCCTAAACAGTGTTAATGTCAACTCATTCTTCAGACTTCAGCTGGCGGGCAGCTTTCTCAGGACCAATTTCCCTGACTCTTGTTACACACTCTTTCATCAAACCGTTTTAGTCATCCCTTATCACTGTTGCAATTTTACATTTTTCTGTGGAATCAGTTGATCAATTTCTGTTTTCCTTTCCAGGCAATACCTCTTTTCTGCTTAACCTTTGTGTACTTAGCACTATGCCAAGCACATGGTCAGCTCATAGTACGTACGTGTTGGTTGAATGAATGAGAGCTGCCTAGCAGCACGTGCTTCCCTCCCCACACTGCCTGTGTGACCATGCAGGGTGTGGGCTTTTGTCCAAATGTCCTCTGGATGCAGAGTAAAGCTGCCCTCCTACTTCCTGGGCAGTGAAGAGCACATGTTCCTTAATTGAAGAGTCCACTTTGACAAATGCCCAGGAGTTTCTGTGAAAGCCATCAGTGGGTCACAGGGACTCCCTCTGGCACAGTAGAAAACATGTTGGGGATAATAAGGGACAATCAGGTCTGCCTTATGAGGGACCTTGGACCACTGTGTTTGCACCAAGATGCCTTTCTTCTGTATTTGCCTTTCTCGTATCAGGTTGATACTAGAGCCCAAGAAAACACAGATGTCTTCTCCTGCAATGAAAAATTTCCTCCAAACTCTTGTAGGACACAAGCCATCCATTTGCATGACTCACACAGAGTGACTCTTAATGAAAAACCTTGGTTGCTTGGGCGAGGTGAGGAAGCTAGTGAAGAACTGCCTCCCTGGCCGCCTTAGGGATAGGAGAGAGCTTTGTGCATGATCCAGACAGACGAGCATGGCACTCAGTACAAGGAGGAAACACTTGCCTAAGGATACTAGAGGAACTTACTTACTTTTGAACACGCATCTCTTTGTCTTTTGGGCTGTCAAAAACATAATGTAAGGTCCCTGACTATCTACGACTAAAATTAAGCCCATTTAAGAATTCAAGCCCACTGTTCAGTTTATGGCAACTATTCTTACAATGAATATCATGTTTTGTTTGTTTTGTTCATGAATCAAGAGCTACAGGTAACACACAAATAGTATTTTCTGAAACTGATAAAATAACTCACATACAGTAGTTTAAAAAAATATGTTTACAAGAGCCTTTTCCATAGGCTATCTTGTTTAATGCTCTTCACACACTAAAGAGTGATGTTAACACTCTATCAAAGAGGAAAATGAGTCACAGAGATATTGATTTCCTTAATGTTACACCTCAGTTAAAGAACATGAATTCAGTTGGCTAGACAGTGCTCTTCCCACACCCTTCATAACCTCCAAATTGCCTCCCAAATTGGTTGAAAAGTGTAAGAAATTTAGCATTCAATGTATGAGGACCAAAAGGACCTTTATTTCCCTGCAGTTAGAGAGAGGGGAGAAAATACCTCAGCTGGAGGTTCCCCGAAAGATACATCATTGGTCAGCATCTTCTGTAACCAACACTGAAATACTAGACATAGAAGATTCTTTCCCATTAGATCTCTGCCCAAATTGTACAGGACACTTAAAACATGTTAAGCATTGAGGCTTTGACATGCCTTTAATAGTGTAGGCCTCAGTTTTGGAACTAACATTGAATACTCTTACAGGAATGGTATATTATTATGGCGAGTACCACTGAAGCTCACAAAGGGAAAAGTTAAAAAGATAACAAGCAAATGAGAAGAAACAAGGCTCTCAAAGGTACTTGACAAATGGGAATTATTACACTTTCATGGATGCAAAAGTTCGGGTAGGCAGAGGTTAGCACAGTTTAATGTAGCTCCCTGCGAGCTCTCCTTTGCCTGGTAATGTGCCTCTGATCCTATCCACAGCATTATATTCCAAAAGTCTCCTTTGATTTAGAGTTTCTTCTTAAAATCTTTGTAGCTATATCTGAAAAGCACGGTTAATTCCTAAGACACCTGGGCTCACTCTAATACCTCCATGCTATGGAATGCAGAACTAATCTCTCCTCCTGCTATTTTTGAATCAGCCCTTCAGGCCATGGTCCCCATTGTCATCAGGACCTCACTCTGTCTCCCAGGCTCATACCTGTACATGCCTCATTAGAATTCAACTTATGTTCAACTCCCAAAGACATTAGTGTTTGGAGGAGAAATGCATGTTATATCCAAAAGAAAAGGGATACATGAGAGAGAGAAAAAGTTGAGCAAGGATTTCTGAACATTGACGGAGTTGTTCTGTCTACCATTTGGAGAGCATTTCATTCACAGGAAGCACTATTTCGCAGTTATTTCAGAGACCCTCTTAGGAAGGAAATGGTGAAACTGCCTCAGAGCAGTGGCATGAACCACTCCCTTCCTCCTTGTGTTTCGTGTTTGTTCGGTATCATTTCTAGACTCTAGCATCTCTCTGATGGCTGGATACATAACTGAAAACCTTAGTAATGATCTGACTTTGGCGATCAATTTAGGCAGCAGCCACAAAGCATATTAAATGAACAGAGGTCTATTCGACCTACGTGGCCAGTTTGACAAGAAAGGACAGCTGGAGGCCGTACCCCTGACAAGATGCATCTGGGCGATGGAATAGATGACACAGTATGTCCATTCTGTCTCCATCGTCTCCTGAAGGCCTTATGCCAGCATTTCCATGATAATCACAGAAGTCAACTGATGTCTTTAATGAAGCAAACTCTAGGCACCATATTCTAACTGGAAAAACCCCAAATCTACCACATGCCTGGTCTATTTATCACTTAGTGAGACCCCAAGAAATGAAGCATAGACAGGAAAGTAACGTGGTTTGGAGCTAAGTATAAGCTTCAACAGAACAATGTTGAAATTGTTCCCTGAAATCTTATGTATCATCTTCATTAAAAGACAGTTCAGTATCCAAAGACTCTCTCCTTCAGGATCTCTGTCAGTCAAGCTGCTTTTAAAATCCAGACAAAGGAAATCATGCAGAGCTGTTCTTAATGTACTTTTTATACATTTCTTTCCAAGAGCAAAAAGTTGTTTAACAAATGTGAGCTTAGTGTCTTTCATAATAGTTTTTCTGTTTGATTTTAAAATACGTTTTCTTTCTGGAATTGCTCTGGGGTGAAAGAACAAAAAATTAACACATTTAATTTTAATAAAATCTAAAAAGTAGCAAAGGTTAGCATCAGCTATCAAGCTGAATTTTATTGTTTCCCCTCTTGCAGGGAAATCCACATTTCCTTGGGGGTGGAGAAGGGAGGGCTACTTTTCTACCCTTTGTCTGACAGGCTAGATGTCAGGCAGAGAAGTCTCCCATTGTGATGGCTGTATGCCTTTTTTCGCTGACAGTAAAAAAAATATTTTCAGTGCCTTAGCCAAAAACCATATAGAACAAGGCCGAAACAATTAGAATCCAAAGTGAGAATCTTCTTCCTCAGCCAGCCGCTGGTGTGTGATATCTGCCCTGTTACTTCCATTTACACAGGACCCATATGGTGTTCAGGGAGGTGACTCCTGGCTCATGATGACTGTGCCCTGACAGGCATGATTGTATTGGTTTTCTGGCCTGGGATAAACAGTCCTCTTCACCTTCCATCCTTATGAAAACAAGCAATGTTTAATTAACAAAGGATGAAACAAATAAACATATATCTGCATATGGCCATATGAACAAGTAATGAAATAGTCTGTGTTCCTAATCTCACTACTACCATAGAGGCCCCATCCGGCAAGCCTAAAGACAAAGGAGAAGACTGAGCCGTGTTCCTGAGGCCAGGGGGAGATCATGCTGGCCGGCTGTCATTATGTGTCATGTCACTGTATATCATGACATCATGTCATGTCATCGTGTATACACTGGTCTGTCCCTATGCAAGGACTTGGGGGGAATATAGATGATGCTGAGATACATAGCAGCATCCTCACCATTCAGGAAATTAGAACTTAACTGGGAGAACAGAGATTTACACATGGTGAAACAAGGGCTACTGTCTTCTCGGGTGTCCAGCCTCCCCCTACACCACCATTGCAAATCCTTGCCATGACATTTGTCATATTTACTCATCACTACTAAGCTGATGATGTCTTCTGGAGACCAGAAAATGGAGCTACTTATATCCTAAGCTAGGATTCCCTAAACCTTTATTCTCACCTACCCCTACCTCCCTACTAAATTTCAGATCAGTGGAAGTGTTGGGGCAGGTGGTGATGACAGGAATGTTTACGGGGAGGGCTTGGAGTCCAAAGTCTTTGACTGTAAGGCAGGAGGAGATATTATGTTCTTAATGCCTTCACCTCTTCCCCTGGCCCCTGAAAATTCCATTAGTCACATTGATGGAGTATAGTGGCAGAAACAGGCCAGGAGATATACTAGGAAGATGCTGATCAGCAGGATGGTGTTCCTATTAAACTGGGACACATTACAAGCCTGGGAAAGGATTGCAGTTATCCCACTCCTCTTGTCACATTGAGAGGAATTTACCTAAGTGGAAACCTCTAAAATACTGCTACCTAAATAAAGATCTAAATCTGTTGAATTATCTAACACCTCCTCTTGAAGCTTTTAGAGGTCTCTTATCTCTTACTGCTTTAAAGTAGAGCAATTATTGAAAAAAAAATCCCTCAACTTTAGGAAAAGGGAAATCGTCAATTATTTTCCAGAGCTACAGACTCCCTTTAGTGGAATCCTTGCCACTCATTAGGGTTGAGGTGCCAAGGCACCCTTTCAGTGGCTACTGGGCATATCTGCTCTCTCGGGGTGTTATTCAGAGCTTGATTCATGGTTTTTATACCTAGGAAGTCTGTGGCCTGGAGTCATTAGATTTGACTAGTTCTCCTTTGGGACTCACCCAGACTCTAAGAGAAGAAAACTTGCAGATGCTCACAGAATATTAACTGCGCACAGCTGGTGTCCTGCAGATGCAAGACCCCGGCGGCAGCCCCTCTGTGACTGTTCGCATGCAGCAGGGGGCAGCAACAGCCTGCAGACCAGCACGGTCGCCCCGGAGAGGAAGGGGCCCCCACTGCTTTTCAATCCCGGTAATATTTCTAAAGGCCCTTTCAGCGTGGGGATAGGCATTCTCTGTACTTAAAAATAACTCTGCTATGGCAGTCATGAAAATCTCTTCTATTATCCTTCCCGCTCACCAAATCCCAATTGCACAGCGTTTCTGCTGCCTTAGATTGTACTCTGCTGCATAGAAAGAGAAAACAGAAGCAGTTTCACACACAAAAAGAAGCTTCAAACTTCTTGAACTTCAGAGGCAAATTCAATTATTTACAAAGAGAAGAATGGTCACACATTATTCCTAGGAGAGGTGAGCCATAACTGTGTGTTTTGGACCAATTTTTAAATGCTCAGTCTAAACACTTACTATTTCAAAATACAAATGATAAAACACAGCCCATACTCATAAAGTGCTCGTAGTTTTGCAGGGAAAAACACCTACATACACCAAAAAGGTCAAGGAACATAAAACATGGAACTGAATAAGTAGCACAGGACTGTAGAAAAGGAGATTTCCTAGGGATCAAGTGAGCTAGGAGTATCTAAAGAACAGAATCTAACCTTGGCTTTATGTTAGAGAAGCTAGTCTGGTGGTAACCTTCCAGGCAGAGGAAACAGTAAAGAACCAACACTGGGAAGTGTTGAAGTTCAAGGCCGGTGTAGCCAGTCAGCTGTTGGCTGGCTTTATTGGAGGACTTAGGACCAAAGACATCCAAAGGGTGAGCTTAGATTATGCAAGGTTTTGAAATCTGGGGTGCAGAGTTTTGTCTTCATGTCAGAGAAAGTTACAGGTTTTTCAACAAAAGAGTAATTTATTTAAAGTAACATTTTAGAAGGACCAGTTAGGTGGACATGTGGAGTAGACTGAATACAAGAAGGGGAAAAGGGAAGCAGCAGACCTGTTAGGAGTCCCGTTTCTTTTGGACCTGAGCATGAGAGCCTGTGGATTGGCAGAGGTCATGGCAAGGGTGATGGCAGTGTGGACATCACAACGAAAGAGGAGGTAAGTCTTGGTGTCCAGTTGGACATTGAATCAAAATCTCTGAAGTTTCATACATCAGAATAAGGAGAAAAGAAAAATTGCGATAGAGCCAGACCCCTGCTGGAAGAGCCTCCCTACCCAATGAGCAATCACCGAGAGATCTCTGGGTCTGGAGGGGAAGGACGGTGTGATCCATGGCCATTCGGGCAGAGGTCCTGCCTTCATGAGAAACGAGTTCCTCCTTTTGGTTTTCACTCAAATGTTATGAGTTTTAATAATTCCCATCTAATGGAGAAGAAATTTCACAAGACTTTCTGCAGAGCAATCTGTTTTCTCACCATTACTGCACCATACTCAAGTCCATCCATTAAAGACTGATTTTAATTTATACATTTTTCCAGTGAAAATAGCAATATTTGCTCATTACCAGAGAATGTCTTAAAAGGATATCAAAGAAAATAAAAATTAGCTGGAATTTCACAGCCCAAAGATAAATAGTACTTACATTTTGTCTTTCTAGGTGTTTCCAAAATACAAATATGAAGAAGATTGATATTTACTGTTTTTACCATATGCATTCTATCTTGCTTTTTTCATTATACTGTAGACATATGTATGTGTTATAAAACAAAGATAAACTACTTTCTTTTAAAGTAGTTGCATGACAATTTTTGTTATGGATGTATGTAGGGAAAAACAATTTTTAACTAAGATAAATATAAAATTTCTACCTAATGTTTTAATTCCAGAAATAGAATTTAAAAATTCAATTGAATAATTATAGTTAGTAATCTTTGAATATTTATTTTCAGTGGTAAGTTGAAATAAGGAGATAGAGAGGAGAAAGCATGGTTTTGCCAAAGGTTTTGGAAACTAATGTTGAATCACTAATAATACTATTGACCTTTGCAGAAATGTATTTTAAATACATTTTAAAATTAATATTTCTAGGGTTAAATTACCGTAGCCAGAATTAAAATAAATATTTAAAATTCCACTTTCTACCTGGTTTCAAACACTGAAATTTACTTAAAACGTTTCTACTTTCAGTGGAGAAAAAAAGAACACCTTGAAAAATGGAAAAGTATTGCAGCTGATTTTAGAGCTTAAAAAAAGACAGTATGGAGCCCAGATCACATACTCTGACCCTTTTGAAGACTGCTACAAAAATATTCTTAATGACATTGTATTTTTACAACCATAGATTCACATCAAGATATGGTGTTTTTATATTTGATGAAAACAAAATAGGCTAGGTAAAGTGAAGCAAGGACTGGATCTGACCTTTTACCAGTGATCTCTCCCTGACCCCCGCCCCTGCCTCTTTTGTCAATAGTTTCCTTTTAAATGGAGTTCTGAATATGAGAGGGAGAGAGAGAGAGACTACTTCGGTATTTGTTGCTTTTGGTAATGGTGTGGCTCAATACAACCTCAATTTAGTAATATAATCATAAATAGATTGTGATTAATACCATTTCTGGGTAACAAGGAGCTAAACCAAATTCTTTCTTAAGACTTTCTGCAGAGCAATCTGTTTTCTCACCATTACTGCACCATACTCAAGTCCATCCATTAAAGACTGATTTTAATTTATACATTTTTCCAGTGAAAATAGCAATATTTGCTCATTACCAGAGAATGTCTTAAAAGGATATAAAAGAAAATAAAAATTAGCTGGAATTTCACAGCCCAAAGATAAATAGTACTTACATTTTGTCTTTCTAGGTGTTTCCAAAATACAAATATGAAGAAGATTGATATTTACTGTTTTTACCATATGCATTCTATCTTGCTTTTTTCATTATACTGTAGACATATGTATGTGTTATAAAACAAAGATAAACTACTTTCTTTTAAAGTAGTTGCATGACAATTTTTGTTATGGATGTATGTAGGGAAAAACAATTTTTAACTAAGATAAATATAAAATTTCTACCTAATGTTTTAATTCCAGAAATAGAATTTAAAAATTCAATTGAATAATTATAGTTAGTAATCTTTGAATATTTATTTTCAGTGGTAAGTTGAAATAAGGAGATAGAGAGGAGAAAGCATGGTTTTGCCAAAGGTTTTGGAAACTAATGTTGAATCACTAATAATACTATTGACCTTTGCAGAAATGTATTTTAAATACATTTTAAAATTAATATTTCTAGGGTTAAATTACCGTAGCCAGAATTAAAATAAATATTTAAAATTCCACTTTCTACCTGGTTTCAAACACTGAAATTTACTTAAAACGTTTCTACTTTCAGTGGAGAAAAAAAGAACACCTTGAAAAATGGAAAAGTATTGCAGCTGATTTTAGAGCTTAAAAAAAGACAGTATGGAGCCCAGATCACATACTCTGACCCTTTTGAAGACTGCTACAAAAATATTCTTAATGACATTGTATTTTTACAACCATAGATTCACATCAAGATATGGTGTTTTTATATTTGATGAAAACAAAATAGGCTAGGTAAAGTGAAGCAAGGACTGGATCTGACCTTTTACCAGTGATCTCTCCCTGACCCCCGCCCCTGCCTCTTTTGTCAATAGTTTCCTTTTAAATGGAGTTCTGAATATGAGAGGGAGAGAGAGAGAGACTACTTCGGTATTTGTTGCTTTTGGTAATGGTGTGGCTCAATACAACCTCAATTTAGTAATATAATCATAAATAGATTGTGATTAATACCATTTCTGGGTAACAAGGAGCTAAACCAAATTCTTTCTCTGAACAAGGAAGGGGAGGGGAAATAAGTGGGATAGAAAGTTCTTGTTGCTGACTATCTTTTTAAAGAGTATTGTTTCACATTTCTGGCTCAATAAAAACCTTGTAATGAACATTATTTCACATTAATTTGTGATTGAGGATCTTACAGAGACCATGGACGTTGTTCTGAACTTCAGACCCCAGGGGGTATGGGGGCATGGACCATGAGAATACAGAGGATTGCTGTGAATAAAAATACCTTCCCCTCTTCTGGAAAAGAAGTGTCATTTGAAAGATTTGCCTCCTTTGTGGGAGAGTCAAAAACAGAGGCATAAACATGCTTGTATGCGATGGTCAGTTTTCTGCCAAGACTTACAGAATGTTGGAGCTAGAAGGAACTGCACTGATCATCCAGTATAAACAGAGTCTTTCATTTTACAGGTAGAGAAACTGAGGCTCCAGAGGTCAGAATTTGTTTTAAAGAATCTTGTACTACTGGTTACTGGTTACATGGAGTCTTATCTCACACTGCGAAACTATTCAGTTCAAACTATTCAACAGTTGAAAGCAACCATTCTTCAAAGTAAAGTGTAAATTGCCTCCAAGTCTACACAAGTAAGAAACAATCTAGAAATCATTTGATTTTTTTTTTGTTTCTGTGACATTTCTCTTTACTAACCTGCCCCTATATGTCATGGAAAAATCAATAGGGAGTGACTTATATATGTATGTATGTGTGCATACATATACGTGTACACACACATATGTGTTTGAGAAGTTTCTGCTTGTGTGTTTGTTCACTTGCTTGCTTTTCAATTTAATTTCTTAGAGAAATTCTGACCAACTCTCTGGGTGAAACCAGACAGGCTGTTTTCGAAAGTACTGAATTAACCTCACCCTGGTGCTATATAACTCAGCATTCCATTTATTTTATTTTCACTCTTCTTTAGCTATTTATTATGTAATTTTCCCTTTCTGTTTTGCTCAAAGGAAGTTACTATCGGTTTCCTGATTTATATCTCCAAACAATTCTGTGACCATACTTAGAGAACCATGGAACTTCAGAAGAACCAGTCCCCTATTTCATAAAGGAGGAATCTGGCACCCAAGGAGGGGAAGTGATGACCCTCAAGTAACTGAGTTACTCATACCAGAAATATTAATTCAAGGATTACTTTACCCTGGGCTCCTTTATTTCCCCTTTCAGAAACAAATTAATCACATCACAAAAGTTGCTATTTACATGACATGAGTAAAGGACACTAAACCAGGCTTATACTGTATGATAAGAAATGTGGGTGCTGGTTGTGACCTAGACTCACTTCACAGCAAGGTGACTCAACCCCACACGCCAGTTTCCCGGCACATGTAACTCAAATGTATGCTTCTGTGACCTAAAATGGTAAAGGCAATGTACCAGAGTGGTCACTTATGAAAGGTGCAAACCTCAAACACCAGCTCCTCTTTTCACACATACACATGCTTGAGAGAAACCCAAGGCCTCACCATCCTTGCCAGGCCCTGCATGACCTGCAGGCCCCTGGCTCCCTCTCCCCGCTAACCAGCCCCACATACCTTCATGCACACCTGGTGCTGCCCACTCCTTCCCTTCTGCCCCCCAGGCTATCCGTGTTCTTCACCCCAAGGGATCGTGTCATTTTCTTGCTTAGAGTACTCTGCAGTCTATTGCAAGTCTGGATTCTCCCAATCTGGAGTTATTGAAATGTCGCCTCCTCTTTGAGTCCTTTCCTGACCCTTGTAACTATCTAGGGAGGCCCTGCCCTGGGTCTCTATCACATTAACATCTGTATTTCCTTCAGGGTGCTTATGAACTATAAGTTAGTTTGTTTATTTTCTTGTGGGCATATTGCCACTTTCCGTTAGAAAGTAAGCTTTGGGAGGACAGACTTTGTGCATTAATCATCTCTCAGGCCTCCTTTTCAGTCCAGCTACTGTGGAGGCGAGCAGCTGCTCATGTGTACAACCTGAGAGCACCTCCCCTCAGAAGCCCAGATGCCTCACTTCTGGACCTGGGTGTTGCCAGGGCACAGACACAGTGCCTCATCCATTCTGACACATGAACACCACTCAACGTGCAAGAGTCAACACCAGTGGGGTGCGGGAGTTGGTGTGTAAATCCCTCCTCTTCTGATGTGCAGGGGATGATTCTAAGATGAGTTCTACAGGGCTCCCCAGAGGGCACCCAGAGGGACCCAGACACATCCGGCCATGGTGTGAGCTGCCGGGTAATAACGTGCTCCTGTTTAGCTTCCCCTCCTTCCCTGTTTTGCTCTTTTAAGTGTCCCATTCCTATTCTAGAGAATAA